ATTAAATATGGGAATAGTTACTGCATGAAATTTGAATTTTATGAAAACGCTTAAATTACATTAAATATGGGAATAGTTACTGCATGAAAATTTGAATTTTATGAAAACGCTTAAAATCACATTAAATATGGGAATAGTTACTGCATGAAAATTTGAATTTTATGATGACGCTTAAAATCACATTAAATATGGGAATAGTTACTGCATGAAAATGTGAAGTCTATGATGAAAGTTTTACATGAGTCACAGTGACGTAGCAAGCTAATGAGTGATTGATTTGATCTACGGGATACTTGATTGGCTTCCATCTGAAGATGAGACAAATTTTTTGAGCACATCCGAATGACCAGAAATGTGCTACTGACATGATCTGTTTGCGGCACTTTATTTAGATATTTTTTTTTCTAAGTTAAGTTTTAGAATAACTGATAAAAACAATGTAACTTTTAGTAAGTTGTTAAATCCTTCCTTAATCCAACATTTAATTGATCTTTTTTATGAGTCGCCACACATTCCTTACAGACAACACAACAAAAATACGAAATAATGTAACGATCGATTGTCATATGCCACGATTCGGAAAGCGACGCCACACCTCCAGTCTTTGGGAGTATAAATCTGTAATTAATTAACTGATGCCCAACACATTAACTTTAATGTCGTTCTTGCGTTTATGACCGATCACGCGAGATAAATAAGAGGAGAAAAACATCTACGTAGATAAAAAACACACATACATATATATATATATATATATATCCATAAAGAAAGTTAGAAATAAAAAAATTCGTTTTATGCACTAAAAATATATGCTCTACTTTCTTCTGTGTAAATTAACGTTTACCAAAATTTTGTGAAAACCTGGAATACATTTATCATTTGGAAATGAGCTAAAATTAAGCAGGAAAATCTAGTTTAAAAAATCGAACGTAAAAGGATAGACATACGTTTAAAATATATTTGTCACAAAACAGTTATCAGAATACGTTGTTTTGTGGTAGATTTTCATAATATAGTGACACAGAACGTGTAGTAAACCGCGTTAAGCCTATTCCTGGTAAAACACTAGCTTGTATGTAGAGGGCACTGTTTTAGTTGTAGGCACTTTTCGTAATGTTTTATTAAGATCTGATTACTTTTGAGAGTTTAAAGTTTGTAGTGCTGACTAGAAAGATATATTTATTATTAAAAAATAAATAAAACACGACCTATTACTCCAGAAAATATAACAATTTGTAATTAAGCCAACTTTCCGCTATTACGGCTCCATCTGGAAATCTTTTGTATAAGCCTAAAATTAGATAGCAAGTCTTTTTTTTTTTTTGTCCCGATGAAACCTTAAATAAAAATCTATGTTTTCTGTTCTAATAGGTGGTGTTTCATATTTTTCTTTTTAATAATTAATTATTTATATCAACGTCCTGACAAAAATAGAGGTTACAGGAAAAGAGTAAAGAAAAATGATTATTTAATTTCGTTATTAAAATGTAATGCTATTTTACTTATTTTCTTCTCGACATTTGATTATTCTCTTAGTTCAAAGCTACACAATTCAGTTGGCTATCTGTACTCTGTCCACCACAGGGAATCGAATCCCAAATTTAGAGCGTTGTAAGTTCGTAAACTTATAGCTGATCCAAAACTGTAACGAAATCTGGGTTGTTACTAAGGGCGCCATGTTAAACCTATAGATGTGTAACAAAATCTGGGCTGTTATTAAGGGCACCATATTAAACCTATAGATATGTAACAAAATCTGGACTGTTACTGGGCCGCCATGTCAAACCTATAAAACTGTAACAAAATCAGGACTGTTACTAGGGCCGCCATGTCAAACCTATAAAACTGTAACAAAATCTGGGCTGTTACTAGGGCCGCCATGTCAAACCTATAAAACTGTAAAAAAATCTGGACTGTTACTAGGGCCGCCATGTCAAACCTAGGACACTGTAACGAATGTTAAGCTGTTACCAAGACTACCATGTTAAACCTATAAAACTGTAACGAATGTTAAGCTGTTACCAAGACTACCATGTTAAACCTATAAAACTGTAACGAATGTTAAGCTGTTACCAAGACTATCATGTTAAACCTATAAAACTGTAACGAATGTTAAGCTGTTACCAAGACTACCATGTTAAACCTAGGACACTGTAACGAATGTTAAGCTGTTACCAAGACTACCATGTTAAACCTATAAAACTGTAACGAATGTTAAGCTGTTACCAAGACTACCATATCCAGTTCCAAACACTTTCCTCCTTATTTCTATTTAGTGAGAGAATATTAAACAACTTAATTCTGTACATACCACATTACATGGCGATTATAATCACAAATAAAACAACCGAATATTTACAGACATTCACTAAAACATGCACTAGCCGTTAAAGGCAAGTATTGTTATCGATTTACGTTGTGGGTCGTTCACACCCAAATCGAACAGGTTGCCCCGTTCTAAGAAGTTAAAACTAGCTCAACTGTATGGTGTATATGTATACTACCTAGCTTACAAAAATTGAATCAATTGGGAAAAATAGAAAACACTACGAACACAACTTAAGCATCTGAAAAGTATACAAAAGCTACTTAATTTCTAATTCAATATTTAGTTTTTATTCTAGGAATAATATGGTAGAAACAAAAGTTCCATAAACGTTCAATAGATGGCGAAAAAGAACACCGATCAGTCTTACGCTTTTGTACTATTAGATTTTGCGAGAGAATTATTCCGATATCATAGGAAATAAAAATTACAAGGATTAAAAAAACCACATCGAGGGAATACTCAAAATAAAAACTTGTATCTTGTAAAATTTTAATCTGCCAACCAGCTTATCGTTTCAAAAGTCATAGTTATATCTGTCAAATAAGTACACCTGACGTAACTAAAACATCACCGACTAACGAATACGTATAGATGGCTTGACAATTTAATTCAACAGACAATCAAATAGGTGTTCAATACATGTTTGTAGGTTGACGAGTTTAACAACATAAACTCACGTTTGTATGAGAGGTGATACGCAAAAAGTCCACTTTATCATTCAGGGCGGGATGGCGTACAATTCTATTAGCATGCCGAATTTCTCTTACAAATTTAAGGCCGCATTATTGCATCCTGGCTTCTTGTGCTTGAGCTCGAGAAACATACGGGACAGGAAAAACACCAGGGGTTATTCCATGAAGAGGCTGGCCGAGATGATAGGCATAACCCGTGGTAGGCAGGTAAGGGTTACCCCCGGGCGCTGTTGTCCCTGCCGGAATCGAATACGCCGCATCCAAGCCGTTGGTGTAGTGAGCAGGGTACGCTGCTGCGTAATCATAGAAGGGCGTGGTAGCAGCTGTTGCAGCCGGAGATAATGGGGAGGACGGTGAGACCATCAGACCCGCTGTTGCTGGAAGGAATGGGGAAGGGTATACGTACTGTGCAGGGAAGCTGAAATAAAGGAAAAACATAAAATCCCACACTTAATCAAACAATAACAAATTAAGCAAAACAAAAACAGATACATTGCCGAGTAAAATCTAATAACAGTATGCTGAAATTTTCAAATCTTTCCAGCTAAATAAAACAAAAAAAATCCTACACAATTTCCTGAATAAACAGCGTTATTAATGAGAATATTCAACTCACTTTATCTTATATGAACACAACTATCCGCATTTCTGGCACGTTAAAGTAAATGGGATTAATTTCAACAGATTTAAACATCCTACCTCACCACAACTTCTATCAGGGGGTTTCTTGGTATACAGATGTAAACATGTCTCGGAATTCATGACCCCTGAAAGTTTGTAGAACATCATGTGTGTTCTTCATTTTTTACTGGTACACAAATGTCAATCTTCAATTGTTTAAATTGTGCTCAGCCATTAATATACTTTGTTCAGGATGCTTAATACTTTTGTACAATTATTCAACAGTTTTTTGTCTAAAAAAAAACATCTACGGTACGGTTGTAATATTGTTGTAACGTTTTCTATTGTTGGGCGGGTTCTTTCTGATTATTCGGTACAAATAATACAAAGTTCAGTTCATTTACGAAAGAATAAATGAAAGGAAAGCGTTTTATTTCTTCAACTGAACGTTGTACAAATTTCACGCTCTCCAACGTAACTAACGATAAGAAAGTGATAGGCCTAGCTACACAAACAAATAACAATAGTCTCTTACTTTCTAATTTATCCCCTGTCTCTAGAACTTCATTACTTCATTGAAACGAAAACTAAAAATGTATGACCTGAACTAACACAGACTAAATAATCATTTAACAACGTACTACTAATAACTGAGCTACGTTATTAAAGTATTAACGATATAGCCTGCAACAGCGTCTATGGTTTTAATGGGCGTGTACTTTATGTTTAAAAAAAAAGGTAAGAAGTACACCATGTTTTTGAGATAAATAACTTACACCCAACATGAGAAATAACCTGAAGTGTGAAACTTTTTCTGGAAAGCCAATTAAATTTATAAACATCCGGTGACCTATCCAAGCAGGAACCAACTAACACACTTATCAACATAGAACAAAACTGGTTAATTATTAACACACTCATCAACATAGAACAGAACAAATCAATAACAAGTTAACACATTCATCAACACGGAACAGACCAACTCACGAATTCCTGAACACGATCACAAACTTTTCAATATATGGTTAAAGAGGTGACCAATAGTTAGGCATTTTAAAATGCACCTTTTGAAATCAGAGTAAAAGTGTAACTTAAAATAGCTGTCCAAACACAACTCAGTCAAACGTGTTGTTAAACAACTCTATTCAAGAAAGGTAAAAGAGATAAGTTACTGTGTAATATGTATCGTCAAAAGTCATAGCCTTCTATCTACACAAAGAACATGGCATAGCTTTAACATGTTATTAATTTTATAGACTTATAATTTATTTAAGCATCGTCAGTTTGTAACCAATAGAATTTCGTCCAGTCCCTGCGTGAGGTTAACTTTAGTTAGGCTTAATACAGAAGTCCAAAGAACGTTGCAATACTTTTAATACCGACACGTCTTAACTTTACCATATACATTCTTTATGTTTTCGCGGTGGACCACGGTCATTTGACCTCTGAACTGTGTCAATAAGTTACTTTTATAATAGAATGTTAACCGTAGTGTTGATATATTGTCAGATTTCTTCTTGTGAGCTGTTTGTTACACAAATCAATACTGAAAGCGAAAGTAATTCATACGCACGCGCCATCTTTGTACTGAAAACGAATACCGGTATTCTGGCCAACGGTCAATTATTCACTCTAGCTGGGTAGTCTAAAACAATGGGGTAAAATGTCTTGACACAACAGCATGATCTGGGCCAGCCTCCAAGTTACAACCATCTGTTCCACGCTGCCTCAACACATGGGCATATTAATAAGAATTGCTTTAAACGCCTATTAATATATATATATTAATAAGTAGCGTACCAAGCGACGCTGAGAATAATTAGGCCTATTTTAATTGCTACTACATCAGTATAAAATATAAATCAAAAACTTCCAAAACCAGAGTCGTTTTTATTATCATTTCCTACATATAAAAACAGAAACACGTTGAAGGAGGCTCCAAACACAAGACTATTAAACGTGTAGACGTTTCACATTTCACTAATTTCTTAATAAGAACAAAGAAACACGAGTGACAGTTATCTGTCGTTTGTTCCCCGGTGGGACTTAGAATGTTAAAATCCGGGGCTCGACTCCCAACTAGGGACAAAGCGTAGATAATGCAATGTGTTACCTTAGATAATACAACAACAGGGATGTTTTTTGGTCTTTTTAAACATCCGCTAGAATCGCTCTCATCTATTCTATATGGGCCAGGCATGGCCTGGTAGTAAGCGTGCCTCGACTGTGAATCCGTAGAGGTGTGTATTCAATTATTCATACCGTTTTCATTGTAATGAGGATTTCAACAGTAAACAATAATAACATACAATATCAGGACCTCAGAGAAATCGTCAGTTATCCAAATAGCTGCTGAAAGGCAACTGCTACGACATCAAAGCACACCCTCCTTTTGTTTAATTACTCCATCCCCCGACACACACTCCCAGTTATAATTGTAAAAGTTCTGCAGCTACTCAACTTTGTCTCATCTTATGCGTATATCACTACGCTCATTGATATTTTCCCAGGGATATATTAAGGTTAACTGGCGCTCTAGGCCTAAGCCTATTGGTTTAATAAGTCATATATCAAGATAGAACAGAGGAATGTTTAAATAAATAAACACGTTCCATTCGAGATAAATAAGAAGATTTTATTGAAGGTGAGCCAAACAAAGATTTCAAGTAACTAAAAAATTGTTATTTTTACGTACGTTTAAAGATTAATGAAATATTCTTGAAAACACGACATAAATGTATTATTATTGGAAATCCAATTGTAGGAGGAAATAAACCACTATAGAACATTTTTTGGACATATTGTTAAAACATTCTTTATTTTTTCATATTCCGAGTCATTTTAGGGATGATGTAGAAAAATTGCCAGAAAAGGAAAACCATCGTTTTATTTCTTTAGATGTAGTAACTCTATATCCAAGTATCGAACATGATTGTGGATATACATCTGTGGAGTCCCCAGTAGCTCAGCGGTTAAAAGCTTATAACACTAGAAACCGGGTTTCGATACCTGTGGTGGGCAGAGCACAGATAGCCCATCGTGTAGCTTTGTGTTTAAAAACAAAGTTGCGGAATGTTTATTTGTTTGTTTGAAGTTAAGCACAAACTTACGCAATGGGCTATCTGTGCTCTGCCCACCACGGGTATCGAAACCCGGTTTCTAGCGTGGTAAGTCCGCAGACATACCGCTGTGCCGCTGAGAGACCATTACGAGGTTTGGAAATTGTTAAGAACAACACTTTTTAATAAAGTTGGAGATAATATCATACCATATATGGATATTCATTGTCCAAATATAAATATTGACATTTCATTTGTTAAATCAAAATTAAACAAATACAGATAAAAAAAAATTCAAAGACGTTTCCAAAGATAATAAAATTATCTTATCAAAAATAAAACTTAAAAATTTATATAAATTATTGAATAAACCTAAAAAAAAAAAGATTTTTCGAAGAAGGTATTTTCAGTTGTGTTTGTTTGTTTTTGAATTTCGCGCAAAGCTACACGAGGGCTATCTGCGCTAGCCGTCCCTAATTTAGTAGTGTAAGACCAGAGGGGAGGCAACTAGTCATCACCACCCACCGCCAACTCTTGGGCTACTCTTTTACTAACGAATAGTGGAATTGACCGTCACATTATAACGCCCCCATGGCTGAAAGGGCGAGCATATTTGGTGGGATGGGAATTCGAACCC